AAATATCGATACAGTATGCATTCCATATTCTTTACAGTTATTTGTATTTTGCTTTTCAATATGTGTATAAAAAAATATATTGTTAAATTTCACTGCAAATATTTATTTCAATGTTACTACGAGTACATGATATATTGCAAAATAAAAAATAATAAAACTCCTTCAATTATCGAACTGATATTTAATTAATTAAATTTTCAATTTTGATCACAGAATTTGAAAAATGTGTAAACGTTGAATATTTAAATATATCACAGATTTTCATATGTAAATATTTCCTGTTATTGTTAAATTCGCTAAAGCTAAGCTGTGAATGATGCAAAATATATCGTTGGCGTGTGCAAAGCCTATTCATAGGATTACTAATCAAGCAGAAATTGATAGTTGAATTTTCTCACAAATTTCGGTGATTTGATATTTATGTTATCTCGTTTTCGGGAGATGTGATAATCGCATTCACGCCTCGACAATCATAATGGAGAACCAATAAATAAACCTTGATTAATGGAGATAACAATTTTCATTTACCATCAAAAAGTTGAGCCGGATAGCGATTAATTAACAGATGTTAACAAATTAAACTCATCAATCCGTTGTTTTCATCACTGTGATACGCCATAACACGAGTTTAAGTCAAATTCTAGTGTCTTAGTAAAAATATTTTTTCAAAATTATTATCATTTGCGAATTATATCTTATCGCCTTAAAAAAATATATTTATTTACGCATCAACAACCGCTCATATTATAGTAATTTTATTCATGTTTAATTTATTCTTGGAATCACGAAAATTATTTTTTATTTTATTATATATTTTTTAAGAATTTCTAGGAAAAGAATTCGAAAAACGTATTTTTTCCACAATAAAAAATAACCAAACTTTTTTTAATTGTAAATAAATAATTAAGACAAAAGTTATAATAATAATATATTATTAACTGCATAAAAAGAACAAATTACAAATATAACTGAAACAAACTCGGTAAAGAGATCGAAAACAACCTATCCACCAGAGCTGTTTCTTAATTACAAGAGTTACGCGGTCCGAAGATCCCGGGCGGACCAATTACACCACTGAATAATTGTCCGAAGTTACAAGTTGCGCTGTTAACAAGTAACGTCGGAGTGCTAACGCGGTTCCGGTTTCTTGGCCCGAATAATTCCGCCGGACTATGCCGAGAACTTCTCACAGTCGTAAACAGAGTCCGAAGAACACTTTTGTCGCATCCCAATAACATAACGAGCTTAGAAAAATAAACGTACCATAAAATAAAGCGAGATCGCTGCAGTAGATAAATTAAGCACAAAAGTAAAAAAAAAATTACTAAATAATTAATTTAAGAAGACAGTATGATAATGAGTATGCAATAAAAATTACGTGAACGAAAGCACATATAGACATCACTTTATTACGAATTACGTGAAGGAAAAACAATAAAGTTTATGTAGGAAGAAAAAATCTATAATATTTAAAATAAGTATTAATTAAAAATAATTAATTATGAAGAATAATATCAGTATTCAAACAAGAGAAGTGAAAAAAATTAAGCCGCGCTAATCGAATATTAAATATTTAATTAAACTCTTTTGATCTCTTTTGATCTCGACTGAGCACGCTTAATTATCGTGGCACAAACCATCGTAAGATCAGGATTAAAAAAGATGAATAACAAACCAATAATGATGAAAAACTGTTGAGTAAAGAAGGGTTTAATAACCGCGTTTAATATTTCAGAGATTAATAAAATCCATGTTTCTGATGCCACATCATATTATGTAGATATTTTGCTTAAGAAAAATAAAAAAAAAACAGAAACATGTATGCCTCAACTTTCAAAGATATGCAGCACGAAAGTAAGTACTTCTTGCGCAATTTAAACTATAAAATACCTTTTACCACATCGGGCCTTGCGATATTGATTTTACAGTCACAAATGTATGTCGACGTGAATTTGTTACGTTTTTTTAAGTCGCAAAAGTGATAAGATTTCGCCATTTTAATTTTACATTTCAAATATTTACAGACAATATTCGAAATAATTAGATGAATCATAATCCGTGTAATTACCATAATTCGTGTAATATCTATATGTACTTCCTGCTTTCTTAGATTTAATATTTACATACTTATATACATATAATAGAAAAGCAGAAAGAACTTGATTTTGCTTAACAAAATCGATTCTTCTCAAGAAATTGAAAGATCCTTCGTCTATAATTCATTAAATTAATTTATAATAATATTTGTAAAAATACGATATAACAAAACGATACATAATGCCTTATTATGTATTTCTCATTATTAATACAATCAAATGATATACAGTTTTGAAATCATTTTTTTGGCGGAGTACAAGTCAATGTCATTGCAAGTGGAAGATCAAAGGATCGCGCGATCGAAATCATGATTTACCGAGTAATCCCCGACGAGCCTCATTACAGTTTGCCTCTAAGTTTCCCCGGCCAATCGAGACTTTATCACACAGGCGTCATCGTTACAACAACGTGGCGTGCCAATCGATCCGGCCGATATCGCGCGAACTTAAGCTGCAACGTGGAAGCTTCCGGGTAAACTTTCCTGCGATTAAGACCGGTAATGTACGAAATTGCGGCGAGATAGCTGTGCTACAGCTCCCTTCCTCCTATCGAGCTTTTCGCCAGGATTTCGACGTGGGGCCCACGTTTATCATCGATCGCGTTACTTCCACGTCGACGCTAACCAAGTGACGTCGCGTCGCCGAATTAACACCGGCGTTTCGCCTTTTACCAAATTACGCGGTAAATTTGCAATTATCGATATCTCATTAAAACGCGCAGTTTTGTTTAACCGACTGACGTAGAAAGCTGAAACTGGCATGTGCAACGTTGGCCAAAATATTGCACTTCAAAATGAAGTGAAAAGCCTAATTGCGGTCCATGCCAAATTTGTGCCAAAATTGTTACCGAACGCGAGGAAAAATATAGCGGCGCCTTCTTTTCCGCGTACAATAACGTTTGAAAATGATATATCGACCAAAATGCTACGGAAATTAATTGCCAACGTGTTTTGTTATTTAACGGTATGAAGCAGTATCCATGGGTTATAATTCAAGTCACGAATAGAATTGAAATGAAAAATCGGAAGCAAATCACAATTTGCGATAAATCATGCCGAGTTACTGAAATTTCCCTATTTTAACACGTTTAGCAATTAACGGCAACGCGTGATGGAAAAAGTTCTACCAACTGGTACAAATTCTCGTGTATTAATCGATATTACCTCAATATTAGCCGAATATTCAGCAATATTCAGAAACAAGTACCTAACGCCTGCAAAGTCGTCTTACAACGCTCGCTACAAGTCAATCTTATATCGACAATTCAATATGAAAAATCTTAAAATGTAACTCTCGACGATTACATCAAAGGTTTAGACCATAATACGACCCTGACCTGTGTTTTTGATAGACTACCGAGTGTTATGGCATGGAAGATTTGTCGGTTATCACTACTGACCGTAAAATCCTGATCACGTCTATTACCGTTCGTGACCGGCAGTTGAATGTCACTCCGTCAGTCAATTGTGTCGATATAAAAAAACAGGTGAAAGAGGTAAAAACGAGGGATATCACGAGGAGTATATCAACAAAGCGTCGAATCGAATCCGCGTCGTTCGAGCTAATAAAATTGACCAGCCGCCAATTTCGCGCGCTCTTTAACGAACAAGCGAACGGAAACGTCCCGACGAGACTAATAAATTCGACACGATGCCTGATGCCCCCAAAATCCCAGTGATTTGTATTCCATTTTTCGAGCGGTAACGACGGTATTATTTGTGTCACAGTATTATTGGTGGGGTCACGTTTCCAAAAGCATCCGCGCAATCAACAAAACGCTATTTATTGCACATTCGCGAAAAATATAAAAAGCAGGTATCACAGCTCTCACATAAGTACGAGTAGACGAGTAGATTTTCTTTTTTTGCATAAATTTTCCATTGCGCGTACAAAGAACGGATTATGAATTAAATAAATGAAAATTAAAACAAAGAAATAAAATCGTATTACGTAATATAAATTTAAAATATTGTTAATTGAAAAAATTTGTTTTATCATAATGAATAAAATAGAATTTATCACAAATTCACAATGGATATAAAGAGAGTCTCTTTTTTCTAGAAAAAAAAAATCTCTTGTACTTTGTAGTTCGTACTTGACTTCTGCACTGAAAAAAAACTCTTGTCAGATCCAGAATCGAAATGTTTGCATTTACTTTAACATCGTTTGATAAGTACATCCCAATTGATTGAGAATTGTATCTATCGCGTGAATATTAATTCACGCACCAATTTATTATTCGCGATAGCTTACATAGACATTTTATAATATTTGTATTAGAAAAAAATTTAAAAAAATAAAGAATATACATATTCGGTACCGAAAACCGCGTAGCTCGTTCTCTATCGCAAAAATCGAATTCTTTCACACCCGATGTTTCGGGAACTTGGTGGAAAACATAATTGGGAGGAGGACAATCCAGAACACGTGTCCTTGTCCTCTGAGAAGATGCTGGAGGACTATTACAGCAGGTCGATAATCCAATTTCGCGTGAAGCGAAACGATCGCGGAACCCGTAAACGTACGTCGCCGGAAATTCGTACGCGGAAGAGAACGAAAGGGGATTTCCCATCCCCATTCCTATTCCACTCCCGATCCCTTTCTGCTCTTATGAATCGTCTGGAGTGCATCCTTCGCACAAGACTCTGCGAAGGAATTTATACAATTCACCGATGCACGACGACGATATATATAACGTCGAAAACGAAAACAAATTTCCTCCTCGCCGCGTTCTCGAAAAATCACGCCTCACCTTCTCCGTGGATTAACGCGGAACGACGTCTCGGAAAAACATCCAGTTCTAATCTTTCTTTTTCTCTCCGTCCTGTCATTGTGGACGAGGACAGAGAAAAATGGCGCAGCGTGAAATTACTATCTCGCCATGTGGCCATGGGAAATATTTACCTGGTGGCACTCCTCGTCTTGACTTCCGGTCGGCCTTTAATTAACGAGCTTCGATCCTCGTAGTCTCTCATTCAGTCGAGCGTTTCAACCACACTACACCAGACAGAGATTGAATTCCAATCGATATAGCGACTCCTTGCGATGTGCGATAAAAATCGTATACTATTAGCGAAACTGCAAGTCTTGTCTGCGATAATCGCCGAGTCGCATCACGCCGCACATCGGCTCGGGCGAACTAATGTTGACTCGTACTACTCGCACAGACCGTGTCACGATGCCGCGTACCGGGAGACGGCATATTTTTTCCCGAGCCAGCGGAACAATGCAGACCGTCGGAAAACGATGGTTATCGCGGACGACTATCGATCCCACGCGCTCGTAAAGCTCACGAGACTCGCGGCGGCACTATATTATATTTCTCGCGACGGAGATGATATGTTGCTCGCTTGTAAAGAGAGAGAGCGACTCACGGATATGTTGCGGATAGGACGTTGCCGAATTCGATTTCACACGCCTCACGTCATCAATATAGGATCTTACCGATCTTATCCGCCTCCTAGATCTTCCGCGATCTCGCCGCAGTTTCCCGAATCAACGGCACGTTTTCCGAACGATTCATCGCGAGCGGAGGCTTTTGCCAAGAATTTCACCAATACGATACGTGACGAATCTTGACGAATCGCGAGATGCACTGCTTCACTGATATTTTTCACTGATATGTTTTCACGGATGACTCGTCACGTACAGCGTTCTGGACTTGTTGACCGGGAGGTTGATTAATCTCAGACGTGACGGAGCTTAGAGCATGAGTAATTTTTCTACTCTTCTTGGATTATCGATATGTTGATGACTGTAAACATTTATTTTACGGATTCCTGATAATCCCGACAAACAACATGCGGTAATCTCAATCCTCCTAATCTTTCGTAATGTTTCTTCAAATCATCGATATGTTACTCCGGAGTAACCGGGTGCCGCTCGACACAGCGAGAAAAACTACTTGGATACCTGGCGAGTTTTGACAACGGTGTTTACAATGCACGATTCCGGCACTCTTTGCGTTCTGACGTTCTGAGTAATCTAACGGAGTCTCGCGGAAACATTGACGTTCGGCACGGATATTCGATCGACTGCGTTCACCGGCTGAGTTTCTCGGAGATATTTTCGAATACCTCTCGACGAGCTGAACACCGCGCACTGCACATTCACTTCCTCGAATCCCACTTCCTGCACTATTCACGCGAGCAGTTCCCGAGTCAGGTCATCATCCGTCCGCGAGAATTGCCGGTGAACGTTCGCGTCGCAATGGAGAAACATCCTTATTTCACGAACGGCACTCGCTCTCAGTCAGTATCCACGATTCACCTCAGAACAGACCACCTTTCCGCCTAGAGGCCTTTTTATTCCTCGGGGGACGAACCGGACGACCGGCGAATCGGTAAAACGACGGATCGGGGGCGATACGGAACGTCCTCGATGTTCGGTACGCGCCGGTATGTCGCGAGTACGCGCCGGATGCACCGAAGGGCGGACGACGAGAAAAAGAGTGACAGAGGGAGAGAGAGAGAAAGAGGGAGAAGCGTCAGCGGACGCGCGAAGGCTCGGCACGCGAGTTCGCCGGCCGACTGAAGCACAGTTCGGCTGTCAGTCGACCCCGCACCCGAAACTCGACTCGTCTTCGTCGAACGAGTCCGCCGTCTCCGTCGGCTCTCCCTCGGGGACAGGGGTGGACTCGGGGATGCAGAGAGTGGGACGAGGTAAGTGTGGCGCGCCTGCGCCAGGTGAATCGGCCCGACGCGACGATGGTATTCGTTGCACTTGGTATAGGTATCTGCCACTCGGTACTCTCTCGTTCTATGGTGCATACCCGAAGCGCGACACGAACGAAAGGAACTGATATCGAGACGACATCGATAAATTGATTCGAAAGCATGCAGAGAGTTTCTTTCACCCAAGAAAGATTATTGCAACTGATGACATTCGTTTCTTGATAACAACCTTTCTCGCAGCGCGTTTCGTGATACTGGAACGAGTGCAATACACGTTAAAAGATTTACACCTCTGGACTGTATATCGATAAATCGATTCATAAATAAGTAATATGAAAAGCTGACATGTATCTGTGAATGTTTCCCCAAATGAAAAATTAAAATTGTTGAAAGATCGATTCCTTAATCAACGTTCTTTACATTTATTCTCTGTATTCAATCGCATAGTTCATCTAATGGATTAGTGGATCGACAATAACGGATTTTCAGCATTGAATTTAGATTTTAATTCTCTCTTCTTCTCTGATCTACGTATTTCCGTGCCGTTTCTAGTAGAAAGATATTCCGATATTGTCTTGACGCAAAATATAGAAGTAAAATTACTTAAAACGATCAAATTGATTCAATAAAGTAAATGCGTCCCTAATAGTATTAACTATATAAATATATAGATAAGAAAAGCGACAAAATTATATTTGCCGTTTTAGATCATCGATTCAATTACAGATAAATAAATGCAAACACTCATCTATTTTTTTATATCGCTATGTAAATCAAATTACATATTTATTACATATTTATAATATACAACATAATTTTAACTCATTTGAGATTTTAAATTAACTTTAAATTGATTTTCTTTAATAAATTTAATAAATAATTAATCATTTCCTAATTAAAAAAGACATCTTTTCAAAAGTAAAATTATCGCACCGAATCGACACTTATATAATATTATATTAGAGAATGATTGAATGTTTATATGTATTGATTGTGTTGTTTAATGACTGAGTGTGATTGTCACGATTACATTCAACATTTCCATCTGTCACTATATTTGTGGAGAAAATGATAAATTCCATTACACTACTAAGGAAAAATAAAAAGGTTCATCTTCTGGATATTCAATTATATTGTCAATCAGTGCGTCTACGCTAATATGCATAGCTCGATACAAATCAATTTTCAGAGCGGCAGCCTTGTGCCTTTGTATGCCCGACGGACTTCGTTCTAATGAGATTTTATTGCGCATAGAGATTTCTGTAACTCACAGAATCACAAACATTCATGAAAATTATAGCTTGACGCGTGCACACCACTAATCAATAATACACTTCGCTCTACCGACGATGAAATCCGAAATGGAATAAAAAATTATCACCGTTCATCTTATCTTCACCTTATCCTAACATACAATATAGAGTAATTGTTTCTATTATGTACCTTTGTTAAGCCTAACTTAAACAAATCATAAAGAAAACTAGCACAAATAAATAAAAAAAGTATTCTCTTTAAATTATTAATATATACCATACCAAAAATAATATTCTATTTTTTCACTATTAAAGTATAGTAAACATTTTTTCCGAAAGATATGAGGAATTTATAAGTCCAGTAATAATGCTACAAAATTTTAAGCTTGTCTCTGTTAAATATAACCCATATTGGAGCTAAGAGCATTACGAGTGTACATTAACATAGTAAATATAATTAAAATAATGATTTATGCAATATTAAGTTAAACAATTAGCTTACATCTATTATCTGTTTCAATAACGATGTTAAAATAAGTCAAATGCGGATAGGAACACAAATTGGGGGATCATCGTCTCTTGGAGAGCACATTAATAGAGACAAAAACATTTAAAAAATTTTTGTCAAATACACTTTTTAGATTAAAAAATATTAAAAGAAAAAGAAATATCGGAAAACCGATAATGATTTCAAACAGATAAAATTTAATAATTAATTCAGTAATGAGCAAGTGACTTAAAAGCACATTAACAGGGACAGCTTTAGGACCTTGTCAATTAATGAGCATTAACAATTAATCAATCGATTCGTTGTTCTCGAGCATATTCAACGATTTTCCACAGACAACCCGCAAAATCTCGATTCCGGTACCGCACGCTCGTCTGTCCGTCCCCTCTAAATCCACCACCACTGTGTGTGCCGACGATTCGATGTGGGAAATCAATCACCCCCGAAACCACTTCCGGCAAACTTCGAAGGCACGCCGTGCCGTGGGAGTCGAGATTCCTCGAGATGATCGTGCGTTCTTGTGGTTCGTTTCGTTTCCGCTGATGGACAGACATTGGCGAGGACGATATATACCAAGGAGGATCGAGATATTTCGAAGTGTGATTTCTCCCGTTACACAAAAGCGATTCTCGAAACTCCATCCGAACATCGATCGACTTGTTTCGTTAATGTTTTCTCGACCTAATTGACTCCACCGCGAACGGACAGTTTGTATTTGCATTACGTACACTGAAAGAAAAGATTGATTGAACATAGCATTTTTAATTGGCTGTAACAACCAATTTTCAGTTGCGTTAGCTTATCGAAATCATATATCAATATTGCGAAGAAAACGCAACCAAAACTTGGCTGCTGCAGCCAATTAAAAATGTTATGCCATATTTTATCTAAATTGTTGCAGCAGCCAGTCTTTTCCTTTAATGTAGATTTTAAGGATCAAATCAAATCAAATTCATTTCCCAGGATTGCATTCATTCACTATTACTAATCACTTTGATGTGATCTGCTGTATTCCTCTTTCCTTTTTATTTTCATCTATTATTTTGTATTTTACAAATGTATAATATAGCCTACTTTTTTTAGACATGCCAAAAGAACATTACATGTAACGTCATAAAGCAAATAATGGAACCGCATATCTAAATGCTTCCAGCGAATAATCATCAGTAAATAAATGGACATGGTTATTGCTCACCGATTCAGTTTCGGGCTAAAGCAATTCTCATTATTGCTGATTCAGCAATTTCATTAGTTTTCGAAGTTCGCTCATCGTACCTCGGAGTAAATAAGCCCGAATTAGAATATTGAATTTTATGATGCATAACTCTGATACATAATAAGTAAGCTACACGAAAGAATGATTTTGCTAAAACATTTAAAAATATAGTTAGATACAAGTCTGAAAACAATTTTGCTGAGCTACCCAAATAAGTAGAATGTTCAAGCATAATGAACAATGCTGCTATTCTAGCTATATAAAAGCTTATATTCTAGCAACCAGCGCGATCTACGTAATTATTTTAATGGTCTAGCAAAATTATTTTCAGATTGTAGCTAAATTTTTAAATACTTTTTAGCAAAATTATTCTTTCTCTGTAGAAATAATAACTAGAAGAGGAGGACCAAAGTATCTTCTTTCGGAAAGAAAGTACGAAATGAACTCGTGCAGCACTCATGATTTATACATTTATTGAACGTATTGAAGATAAAATATT